CCAAGACTCCTGACTGGTGGAGACCCTCCATAGCACATATCCTACTCCAGGAACCCTGGCTGGAAGATCAGACTGAAAGGAAGGAGCAAACAGGGACGGAGTAGCAGCACACTTGTGGCATGAAAGGTGATGGTGAGTTGCCGCAGGCAGCGGTAAAAATCTTTAAAGAACTGTTGCTTTTGAAGTAAATAATCATTTGCTGGGACTACTGTGTAGAAGGAGAAGAACATTATTGGAGGGCCCTAGGGGGTCTTGGGGGTCGGTGGTTCCACTCCTCTCTATAAATGATACGAAGGGGTTTCTGGGACTCTAGCAGAAGAAAAAAGAGGGCTATCCTGGGATCAGTATTTCTGGAATAGAGGAAAGTTAATTGTAATTCTTTAACGAAATGAAGAGTAGATCGATTAAAGGGGGGATCAAAAACTCCCCAATCAAACGCAAACACTAGCACAATAAGAAAGCCCCCGCAAGAGAAAAGCCCAGAGACCTCAACCCAGGAGAATCAGCATAAAGGACTTAAAAAGTATGACAGAGATCAATCCAGGGACACTGGAAGAGAACCAGATTAAAGAACCTGTAAATAGGAAAATTGAACCAGGAAAGAAAGAGATCAAGGAAATATGGAACAGCAAGGACCCATGTCACAATCACTTACAAAAATTGAAATGGCAGAAATGTTCTCGAAACTAGAGATGTCCATGAAAAATTAGATCGGGACATTACGCAATGACCTGGGTCAGATATTAACTCAAATTGAAGAAGTAGAGCGGAGAATGGAGGGATACACGCAATTACTTAATAAACTAGAAACAGAGGTGGAGGTGGTATGTAGAGAACAGATGAAGCTTTTATTTATAGTAAAAGATCAGGAGAATCGCAATAGAAGAAACAATTTAAGGATTAGGGGTTTACCAGAAGAAACGGGACAGGAAGAGGATCTGTAGGAGAAAATAAAGAGAGTCTGTATTCCAATTATGGGAAGAGCGATGACAGAGAAATTGAAAATTGAGAGAGTACATAGGATCAGACAGCCAAAAAGAGTAAAGAACCAGCAAACACAAATGCTCCTGCGCTTGGGGATATACTGAATGAGGAAAGAAAAAACAGAGGGCGCACAGGCCTAGTGTATTACCATAAAAAATGTTTAATAAAAAATAAAGTATGTGTTGTACTCACAAACAACAATATAGTCAAGGCACATCATAAAGAACAGCTGGGTCAACACCGCGCTGAGTAACAGTCCACAATAGGGAGTATAGACATCCAAAAGGCTGACGCGTTTCGAGGACTTGCCTCTTCCTTAGGGCCAAAAAGAGTACCGGTGGAAAACCCCAGAGATGTGATAGTCGGATTCCATCATTTCAGAGATAGAGAATATGGAAAGGGTTGCGTGACTCTACTGAAATAAAATATGAGGAAAAAAACCTGCATATTTTTGCGGACATTTCTCCAGAGACACTGGCTAGAAGAAGATCTTTGAAACCATTGCTGGATCATATCAGAGAGATAAAAGTTCAATATAATTGGGGCTTTCCAGCATGTTTAATCAGATGGAAAGATGGAAAATCAGCAAGGCTGAGGTTCCCAGAAGATCTAAATGACTTTTGTGAGAAATTAGACTTACAGAAAATGGACCTTGAAGGATGGTCATAGAGGCCTATAGAAGCGGAGGGCAGGTGGCAGGAAAGTGGCAGCAGGAATCTAGGAAGAAGAAGTGGGGGGGTTCAGGGGGAGGTGGTGGGGGGGTTCGGAGGGAAAGTTTTCTTGTTTTTTTTTTCTTCCCTGGGAGGGGCTCTCCCTGGCTGCAGCATGGTTCCCTTGCCCCCAGTCCCTTCTCCCCGGGTTGAGTAAATGGGTGGGGGGGACAGAGGAGTAGTGAAGAACATGGATCTGGTGGGTGGGCCGGAGGCCAAGCATGCTGTCAACTCCAATATGAGGGATGACATCTGTCATGGATTGGGGTTGGTGTGCGTGTTTCAAGTTTCACCCCAAACTAGGAAACGCTAGTGGGAAATTTCTGGGACAGATTCCAGGGCAATATGTAGGCTGGGAGGGTTTTAGGGGTGGCAGAAGAGGGAGGAAAGGAGTAGAGGATGTAAGTGGGTGGGTGGGTAAACAGCGGGAAGGAGGGAAGAAAACGGGGAACTGTTGCAGGGGGAGAAGGGAGAAAGTCCATATCTTAAATTGTCTATATTTGCTTTTTTGTGAAGGGAACTCCGGTAGGGTAGCGAAATAATAGCTGAAATGAGTGTCATGAAGTTTATGACTTAAACTCCCCTACAAAAAGACATAAGATACTTAGGGATATTCACCAACACTCCATAGATGTAGTGTTTCTCCAAGATACACATATAACTCATGATACAAATGTAAAGTTATACACAAAGCACTATGTAACGTGGTATTATGCAGACTTTCCAGTTAAAAGGGCCAAAAGGGTTGTGATTGGGTTATAAAAAAATGTGAGCTTTATATTGGAGGGGAAAATGGATGACCCAGAGGGACAATTTTTATTTTTGAGAAGAAATTTACAAGGAGCTGACTATACACTGGCTAATATCTATTGTCCAAATAAAAATCCAGTAACATTCCTGAAGGGAGTGTTAAGAAAACTTTCTGAATTTAGAAAGGGTAGTCTGGTTGTGGATGGAGATATAAACTTGTGTATGGACCCCCAGATAGATGCATCATCCTGTACAAGGAGAAAGGGGGGAAGAAAATCAAAATTATTGAAGAGATTACTATATCATTGTCAATTGACCAATACTTAATATCCATGAGAAAAAGATTACAACTTCTCTCCGGTGCATGGATCGTATTCAAGACTGGACTATATAATGATCGAACAAAGACAATTGGAGTCATTGGTTAGCGCCAACATAAAAGTTATGTCTATTTCTGATCATGTTTCCTGTCATAATGAGACTACGGGTAGGTGGGGAACAGGATAAAAAAACTATGTGGAGATTAAATGAGATGTTTATACAGGACCCTGAATTAGAAAAAAGGTTAAGGTGGGAAATCAAGCAATTTTTTTAGCTCAACGAGACTGAGGAGGTGTCTGTAGCCACAATCTGGGAGGCACATAAAGCATATATTAGAGTAATATTGATTTCGATGGCAGCAGAAAAAAAGAAAGAACGAGGGAAAAAAAAATAAAGACGGTGATGGAGGAGCTGTACAAGTTTGAACAGTCACATAAAAAGAAGTTAGGTACAGACGTATACCAGAAGATAATTATTAATAGAGAAGAATTAAAAGATCTTATGGAATGGGAGTCAAGAAGAATATTTAACAGGGTTTCAAAAGAAAGATAAAGGTGGGGGGAATAGACCTGGAAAAATATTTGATGAAAAAACTAAAGTAAAAGAAATCTAAAAAGTTTATAGAAAAAAATTAAAGATGACAAAGGAGAAATGGTGGACGCCACCACTGATATCGCTATTAGGTTCCAAAAATATTATCGCTGCCTGTACGATGTGAGCCCCAGAAACCAAAAAAATGGAGGAAAAATAGACAGAAATATTTAAATGAAGTGGAGTTGCCAAGAATAGCAGAAGAAAAATTAGAGGCAATAGAGAGACCTGTTACCCTGGAGGAAATCACATTGGCCCTAAAAAATAGGCTAAAGGAAAGAGCCCTGGTCCGGATGGATATACTGTGGGCTATTACAAAAAATTTTGAGATCTCCTAGTCCCTAAAATGTGCGGTTATATGAATGCAATGGGGAAGGGGCTGGAAATGATGAGAGAGGAGTCATTGCAGGCACATATAACGATTATACTTAAAGAAGGGAAAAATAGTTCACAGTGTGCCAGTTACAGGCCCATATCCTTACTAAACACTGACACTAAATTGTCTGCTAAAGTATTGGCAACCAGACTGAAGGAGTTGATGCTGGAGTGGATATACCTGGATCAGGTTGGATTTATTCCTGGAAGAGAAGGTAGGGACAATAGACTGAAATCATTGCTCCTCCTACAAAGGGTAAAAAGAGAGAAACTGCCAACTCTATTCCTGTCAATTGACACCAAAAAGACTTTTGACAGGGTTAACTGGGGTTTCATGATAGATACACTAGAGGTCTTAGGACTATGACCTAAAATGCTGAAGTGGATTAAAGGACTGTATAGCACTCCGTCAGCGGCGGTTAAGTTCAAAGGATCCCTCTCTCAGTTCTTTAAAATGTATAACGGAACCAGACAGGGATGCCCACTTTCTCCTTTATTATTTGTTTTATCTCTGGAACCTCTCCTGGCGAGGGTAAGAAAGAGTGTAGACATAACAAGAATAAAAATAGGAGAAGGGGAGCATATAGTGGTGCATATGCAGACGACATGTTGTTCTATATTGTAAATCCTTGAATAACGTTGCCTAGCTTAATGAGATTATTAAAACTGTACGGTGAGCTATCAAATTTGATGATAAATCATGCAAAGTCAGAAATCTTAAATATTAATATACCAAAAGTTGAGAGGCTGAGCTTGCAAAAAGACTTTCCATTTACATGGAGGGAAAAGGAAATACGCTACTAGGGAATAAAACTAAATTCTTCAACAAAAGCCCTTTACCGGGCAAATTACATTCCATTAGTAAATTAAATAAAAGAGGAACTGGGGAGATTGTCAAAAGGTGGCGCTTCCTGGATAGGTCGTATAAACCTGGTAAAGATGGTGATAGTACCAAAAATCTTGTATACGTTTCACATGCTCCCAGAACACCTACCAGGATCTTTTTTTCGGGATAATAAAGAAGATAATACTTAAGTTTATTTGGGCAAATAAGAAACCGAGAATTAGGTACGAGGTATTGTGTAGGGCAAAAGAGAACGGGGGTTTGGACATGCCAGATGTTAAGAAATATTATCAAGCGGTGATATTATCACAAATAATAGATTGGATATTCAATTCACAAGGGAAAGGTTGGGTGAATATGGAAGAGATCCTGAGTAAGGCACAGTTATAGAAAACGTTTTGGATACCACATAAATTCTGCACATTAGACATGAATATTAGTCCAAGGCTTGAAATTTTCACTCGCCAGCTAGTCAATGGTGAGTGGAAATTATGGTGGGCGTGAGTGTGTCCCCCAGGGCCGTCTTGCTGAGCAGGCTCGGAGCTCAGGCCAGATCTGTCATTGGCACTGGGAGCCGTCAGACTGCTCAATAGCTGAGCGCAGTGAAAGCAAAGCAAGGAGTGTGTGCTGTGCTCTCTGCCTCCCCCTAGAGTGCAGTACCTGGATCTGTGAGTGAACAACGAAGTATTGCAACTTTTTATGGGGGGGGTGTGTATATATGTGTGTGTGTGTTTGTGTGTGTCTGTGTAAGCATGTACATGTGTCTGTGTGTATGTATATGTGTGTATCTGTACATGTGTCTGCGGGTATGTACATGTATGTGTGTACATGTGTCTGTGTGTGTGTACATGTGTCTGTATGCGTGTGTATGTACATGTGTGTATGTACGTACATGTGTCTGTGTGTACATGTGTCTGTGTGTATGTACATGTGTCTGTGCATGTGTATTTCTGTGTATGTACATGTATCTGGGTGTATGCGTGTCTGTATGTGCCTGTGTGTGTATACATGTGTCTTTATGTGTGTGTGTGTACATGTTTTTCTGTGTGTGTGTGTATGTATGTACATGTCTGTGTGTGTGTGTACAGGTGTCTCTGTTTGTGTGTGTTTGTTGGTGGCGAGTAACTCTAAGGCCTGGCTAGTAGCTCAGGTCTTGAAATTTTAAGTCCTGTATTAGTCCACTGACAAAGAAAGTTTTAGGTGTTTGGGACAGAATTTATAAGCAAAAGGGATGGAAATATAATTCAGTTATGATTCCCTCGGTGGGAACGGAGTATTTCCCCCCAGGGAATGATAATATCTCTGGAAAATGGATCAAAGATCAGAATGCATGTTTAAAAGATATAGTGAATAAAGGGAAATTGCACACTTTTTTGATTTAAAAAAAAATATATTTTTTCACATTAGATGAGTTGCGGTACAGCCAATTAGGTCATTTTGTTTCAACGCTCCCACAACCACTGAGGATGTCGGAGGATCTGTATCCATTTGAGAAACTGTTGAATGTAACTATAATCCCCAAACAGGGTACTTCTAGGATTTATAAGATTCTTATGGATATGGATGGTATTGATGCTCCCCAGTTCTTGGAAAACTGGGAACAGGAGCTTGGATCAAAATTGAATGAGCAACAAAAGAATAATATATTTAAATTAACACATGACGAATATGAGCACTATTGAAATGAATTACAAATGTATAGTTAGATGGTATATTACACTGAGTAAGGCACATAAGCAACAAATCCAAACAGATAAAACAAGCGCTGGATAAACATACAAAAGGAGCAGCTAGCATGAAAAGGTAAAAACCTCAAACCCTCTAATCAATAGTAAAATAAAACACATGCAGCGCTAAAAGTATGATAAAACACGTAAAATATTAAAACATAAATTATATGATACCAATATAACAAAATTAAAAAGTATGAAAGTGACCAAGTTCAATGACCTTATCTGTTATATTAACGTAAATAGTTAATATAAAATGACAAGCTATAATATCCGCAAAAGTTAAGGTTAAGGCACCTTAACTTTTGCGGATATTATAGCTTGTCATTTTATATTATCTATTTATGTCAATATAACAGATAAGGTCATTTAACTTGGTCACTTTCATACTTTTTAATTTTGTTATATTGGTATCATATAATTTATGTTTTAATATTTTATGTGTTTTATCATACTTTTAGCGCTACATGTGTTTTATTTTACATAAGCAACAAGTAGATGTTTCACCTTTATGTTGCAGAGGATGTGGGGAAAAGGGTACAATGGTTCACATATGGTGGGATTACCAGAAAATACAGGATTACTGGAAGGAAATATTACAATATATTCAGGAAATATGTGGGATTACTGTACAGAGAACCGTGGACGTGTTTATTTTATAAATTTGGACCTTTAGTAAATCTACACAAGAATAAGGTATGATATCATCTAGTCAGTGTGGCTAAGGGCTTGATTCCCAAATTTTGGCTTGCCCCAGACCCACCAAGCATAAATGACTCGGTTAACAGAGTGGAAAATATCTACAGAATGGAGGAGTTGTGTCATACCGAGGAGGATAGAATATGAAAATTTAGGAGAATGTGGAGTAGCTGGTTGGTTTTTTAAAACATCTAAAAGTTATCTGGAACTGGTTGGAATATAGGTGGAAGAGTAATAGAGGGAGTTCTAATGGAGTAAACAGCAGAGAGAAGGAGATAGGAGGGAAGGGATACAGATAAAGATAGACAATCACGAGAATGGATAGAAACTAGGATTACATAGGATTATAGACTAGGGAAAATGGAGGGGGGGTGGGTGGTAGGAAGGATGGGGTAGCGGATAAAAAGATGCAAATGGAATTTATGTACTGGTGAAGTTTTCTCTTTGTTTTTTATTTATGTGTGCATTTTTTGTATTGGAAAAAATTTATAAAAGATATAATTAAAAAAAAGTGGAGTTACCCTTTAATAATGGTGATCAACAGGTGTCATGGCCAGTTGGAGCTATATAAAATGCAGTTATTGCAGATAAAGCCATTTCATTGTCAATAGCACCTGAAAAGCCAAATTAGAATTCCTCTCAAAGTAATTCAAAAAACTGTATATAAACATATCAGACATGGCCAGTGTGCAGTAGCCACACATGTTGCAAAAAGAATGTACTGAACATCACTCAATCCAGTGAGAAGAAAAGGCATGCTCACAGTCAGACCCCACAGTTCCCAGACATAGTTTGCTTTAAAATGATTGCCCAGAGTCTACCTTCAGGTGGTAAAAAGCTAAGCCAACTTCTGGTTGAGTACAAACATGCGTTCTTATATATTGACAATTATAGCCAATACATACTGTACAATACATTTTTAAAAGCAATATAAATTGATTTCAAAAGTAATTGCTAAATACATTCCTTTATTGCAATCAAGTATAAAAAAGCACTGTTTTGTTCATGTAACTATTCTTTAAAAATCAAGAATGTGTGTTTAAACTAATTAATTTAACTGAAATTTGTACCCTAAAGACAGGTGAAAGAAGAGATTAGTCTTTCTGCCCAAGTGTCTAATACATCAGTTTGAACAGCAGACCATGCTTTTCAGGTAAGCTTATAGGAGTAGAAAAACATCATGCTGAAAAAAAAAAAAAAAAAAAAAAAAACACAAGCGCAGGGCCTACATGACAGGGTGAATTAGGAAAGACATGGAGCCAAGAGCTGAAATGCTTTAGTTTCAAGGTATTGAGAGTTCAATTACCTGATTGGATAGGGAAAGGGGGTTAGGATGGGCTTCATAGATGGATTGAGGGGGTGTGTGTTGTAAGTTCAGTTGGGGAGCAGCCCAAACTGGGAGATCTTTCAGAGACCTTCACTTTCTAACCTTTCTGATGAGAAAACAAAATGATTGAGTTTGAGGACTCGATAGCACGGCTCCGGGCCGTGGCTTCAAAGAAAAGTGGCTTCACTGTGCAGGGAGTATGACACTCACCACATGTGGCTACATGCACGCTAAGATTACAGACTCTGAAGCACTTAAGTACTGAATCAGCCCCTAGAGCTCAGCAAAAACACTGGGAGCCCCATCAGGGACCTTCCAGGCCTTAAGTTGAAGGGTACAACTGTTTCAGCCAGAGCCAGGTCTGGGAAGATCCCCTGGCCTAAGTGGAGCCTTCATTTTCACTGCACCTAGCCCCCTTCTGCTGGCCCAGGTTAACATCACTGGAAGGTGGGCTGGACCCCACGGCAGCCGGGTATGCTAGGTATGCTCTGGTGTGCCTGGAACCAGATTGGTGCTGCAACAGGAGTGATAGAGATGACAGCTGGTCTGAGGGGGGAGGTCACCACCTTTGAAGAGGAGAATGCTGGAGAGCCTCCGCCAGTGAGGGCTTCTGGACTGCAGTTGGTGGGTCCAGTTCAAGTCACCCTGGTAAGTTTCTTCTCATGTATCTTTCTCTTTACAGTCTGCTTTGAAGGGTTTGTTGTGTCCTTTGTTGGGAGGTTGATGAAAAGGGGTATGGCTTGCAATTCAATAAAGGAACCTATAGGTTTGGATGCAGTTGTCACTTCAAATATTCAAATTGTTCCAGGTGGGAGGGGGCTCACATACACTCTCAGTGTTTCAAACAGGAAAAGACATGTTCCAGAAATTCTTTGGAAAAAAGGGAAGCCAGTGATGGAGGAAAGGATGCAACCTAAGTACATTGCAAGGCCAAAGGTTTTCTCATGCTGTGTTCATGTTCAACTCCACTCATTGCCAAGAACATATAATCCAAACTCCAACACCCGTTGGTTGTGTCTAAGAAACTTCAAAAAGAAATTTGCATGGGTTGCATGAGCTCTCATTTTAGGTCTCTGCCCTTGGTGAATTTTGTGATGTCACACCTAGAGGTGGTGCCCAAACAAGAAACTGAACAAGTTTTGGGTGATTCAGTGAATGATGCTATTGACCTTTAAACCTTCTTTGAGGAAGCAGTTTTGTGTACTCAGCTATGCACTCAGGGATTACTTCATGAAAAAGTGTATATTCAGTCTGCCTTTTGGTTGTTACCTGTCCACCTACACACTCATTAGGTTGCCAGTGGCCAGGCTATTACTTTGTTGATTACTGACTGCCTATGGGCTTCTGTATTTCTTGTGTGTTATTTGAGACATTTAGTTCTTTTATCCAATTGGTTGTTTGGGATGTCTTGGATGTTGATTCAACCATCCACTGTTTGGATAATATGCTGTTTACCTGTCCCCCTGCATCAAACGAATGCAGTATTTTGCTGGCAATGTTTAAACACATTGCTGGAATGCCATTGACTCCAGATAAAACTGATCGCCTGTCCACTTAGGTTTTTGGGCATTTGAAAAAGATGGAGTGTTGCCTGCCAGATAAAAAGTTAATGGTGCTTAAATTGATGGCCTGGTAGATGACTGTAAAGCAAAAGCTTCAACTGCACCAGTTTCAGCCTTTGCATGGTAAGTTGAATATTGCTTGCAGGATCATGCCCATAAACAGAGACAAAAAGACCCAAGGGCATTACATACAGTTGACTCAGATATGATTTATGTGTTTAGAAATTGTTTCTTAAGCCGTCCAATGGCTTTTCACTGTGAATTTATGGGTCTATTTGTAATTGCAGCCTAAAACTTTATATGGATATGTCAGGCTCCACTGCTTACAAAGCTTACTTTTAAGTCAAGCAGAGTGTGAATCCTTAGTGAGTGGGCAGAAGTGGGGCTTCTGAACTTGGTTCTTCTTGAGCTCTTTCTGGTAGTTCTGCAGTTGTTCAATAACAAGATGCAATTCAGTTATGATTAACGTGCTAGTTATGATGGCAATCAATAATATTTCTGAGTCATCCCTGTCAGACATCAGGCTTCTGCAGCATTTGTTGTTATGATGTCTACAGTTGAATACATTTATTTATGCTGTTCATCTACCTGGAATTTCTAACACATTGTTATGAATTGTCTCAGATTCAGTGAGATGTGCCAAATG